GTGCCGCGCTTGAGCGGGTGGAGGGCGAAGTGGATGTGCAGGTAGAACTCCAGCTTCTGCGCCAGGGCGTCCCCGTCCCGCACAGTGATGGGGATGTGCTCCTCCCACAGGCGGAAGAATGCCTTCTGGTCCCCGCCACTGAAGGCGGCCAGGAGCTCCTGCTGCGGGAGACACAGCGCGAACCCAGTGGAAGGGGGCCACCTCTCCCCACGACCCAAACCCCCACCCCCGGAAATGGGGATCCGAGCCGAGGAGGCCACAGCAGGGCAACAGGGACATGCCACATCCTCAACGGGCCTGGGATGGACTCCTGGGAGTCCCAGGACACGAGGCCGGGCACAGCTGTGGGTCAGACCATGGACGCCGCCCTCCTCTCTGCAGCAGACAACCAGGGCCACAGCCGCGACTCAGAGCCTCGCTGCGAAGCTCAGAGGGTGCCGCCTGGCACCATTATTTGGCCACTGTTTGTTGTATTTCATTTTATTTTTTCCCATACCAGGGATCGAACTCAGGACCTTGCGCTTGCCAGGCAGGGGCAGCTGCTGAATTACATCGCCGGCTGTGGTTTGCTATATTTTAAAAAATGACCTCACACGCAGTCTTTCTGCATGACTTATCCCTCAGGTGAAATCCTGCCCGCCAGTCAGCAGAAGCTCAAGCGGTGATGAGGTGGTCAGGGGTCCCTGACGCCCCCTTGCTCCAGAAGACTCTGGGGGAGCCTGGGTACCAAGGGACCCACGCCCTGGCCCAGCCCCAAGCCTGTAGCCACCAGCCACAGGGAGCAGAGCCCGAGGCCTTTCAAGGCAGCAGCCTGGCCTGGCAGAGGCTGCACCCGGCAATGCTTCCGTCTGAGCTCTGTTTGCAGTCCTGGGGCCATGAGCCATCATCATCTGTGCCAGCTCACGATTCATCTGAGCTTGGGATGGTCCCTGCGGTCAGACACACACAACCTGCTGCGGCCACTGCGTGATCACAATGTAAGGGTTCCCACTACGCTGTCAATGCCAGTCACCAAGACCACTGGCGACGGCAATCACATGCTGCAGCCTGTGCCTGGTGATGCCGCTCAGAGGCCGCTGGCATGGAGCGAGCTCTGCTGCAACAGTGCTTTTGTGGGAGGTTGGGGGTGCCTGAGACAGGGTCTCACTACGTGGCCCAGGCTGGCCTTGAACTTGCAGTTACCCTGCCTCAGCCTCCTGGGCGCTGGGATTACAGGCTGAAACAGTGCTCTTTGTCTGGGAAATGTGTCATGGTCTGTCACATTAAAGAAAAACGGACCCCAAAACATCAGGGAAATGTGGATCAGAACCACAGGGTACCACACTTCAAATCCTTTGGGATGTTACGATTCAACACAGAGTAACAAGATGGTGAAGACGTGGGTAAAGTAGGAACCCTCATGAACCTCTCTGTAAAACAGTCTGGAAATTCGTCAACAAATTAAAAATGCAACTAACAGCCTGCCAGGCATAGTGGCGCATGTCTATAATCCCCACACTTGGGAGGCTGAGGCAGGAGGGTCACCACGAGTTCAAGGCCAGGCTGGGCTATAGAGTGAGTTTGAGGCCAGCCTCAACTACACAGCAAGACCCCGTCTCAAAACAAACTCCTCCAAAATGGAACGACTGTATGACCACGTCTGGGTTATGTCTGTGAAAACTGAAGCGGAAGTAGTCTTGCAGAGATATACGACACCTACAAGGTGTGGTCAGCAAATAGGTGAACTGGGATTTTGAGGTTTGTTCTGTTTTTTGCCATTAATCCCCCCTGGCTTCAAACACACTCATTCCATCATCCCTGCCACTTTCTAGAGCAGTTCAGGAAGTCTCCTTGTATGAGTGTCTTCGCTTGTGCTGCGGTGGCTGCCTTGATTCAAAACGTTGACCTTTCCTGGTCATTTTGATTCTGGGGGAGAGCCAGAAGTCACATGTTGCCAAATTTGGTGGATGAGGACGCACCATCATGTTTTTATTTGACAGAAATTGCCACGTACATTTGATCAATGAGAGATGATTCTAAAATACAAAATTTTATTGCAGTAAAAGACATATTGCCTTTAGTTTACCTCAAAATACTCCCCTTACTACCACCACATTTATCCCATTGTTCTTGGTGCTGTGTCTTTTACTGTAATAAGTTGGTGTTTTAAAATTTAAACATCATCATGTTTCTCAGTTCCCCTTGTATGTCTATCACAGTATTATTCACAATAGCCAGGAGGCAGAAGCAGTCCCAGTGCCCCCAGGGGAGGTCCGTGGGCATCCACAGGGTGGAATTATTAAAACGTGAAAAACATGGCCATGCGTGGTGGTGCACGCCTGTAATCCCAGCACTCAGGAGGCTGAGGCAGGAGGATCACTGTGACTTCGAGACCAGCCTGGGCTACACAGTGAGTTCCAGGTCAGTCTCAACTACATAGTGAGACCCTGCCTCAAAAAACCAAAAAACAACAACAACAAAAAAAAAAGTGAAAACTTGAGAAGTCTTGTTCTGTACTTCTGCACTGATAAGCCTTGAGGACATTGTGCTGAGGATCAAGAGCCAGTCAGAGTCATAAGAGTCTGATTACAGAGAGAGCCTGGCATGGTGGCATGTGCCTGCAATCCCAGCCACTACGGAGGCCGAAGCAGGAGGATCAGAGTCTAAGTCCATTCAGGGCAAATAAGTGAGCCTGTCTTAAACAACAACAACAACAACAAAGGCCTCATGCTATGGCTGAGGACTGGGGACTCAGCTGCTTAACAGACACTGAGTTTTCAGGTGTGGGAGACGAGTAGGTTCTGGAGAGGTGTCTCACACTGTGAATAATCTTTCTTTTTTCTTTTTCTTTTTTGAGCTATATCACCAGCCCTCCCCACCACACACACCTTCTTTTAAAAAAGACTTGAGACAGAATCTCATGAAGTCACTATAGGCTGGGCTTGAATTTGCAATCCTCCTGCCTCAGCTTCCCAGATGTGCTCCACCATGCCTAGCTCAATCATCTGCACCATTAATTGTGTGGTTCAGTGGCACCGTTAGCCGGGCTGGGGACTCTGTGCCAGGCAGCTCAGTATGGCAGAGACTGGGCATGGGGGCAGCTGCTCCTCCTGCACCTGCACCTGGCCCTGGGGAGCAGGGACCCAGGGAAGATGGGCGTGCGTGACACAGCCTGAACGCTGGAGAGAGACCAGGGGACACCCTGGACTCACCAGTGACACCTGCAGATCTAAATGACCCTCGTGGACCCAAGACTTCTGGCAGGGGCACCTCTCATCCAGAGATGAAAACTCAGAAACCTTACCTGAATAGCTGGTGACCTGGAGTCCTTTAAGCAGCCACCCACTGTCTTACTGAACGGTTTTCCTTTTATTTTGCATTCTTTTGAAAATGTTTTCAAGGTATCCTCAAATTCGGCAAAATCTAAATACTGTAAAAGAGAACATAAGCAACAGGAGAAAAGAAACAGTCCAGTTAATAACTGTGCAAAGGCCCTGAACAGATATTTCTCCAAATAAAACTCACAAAAGGGCTCAACACTTGGCAGTGTGGTGCACACCTGCAACGCCAGTACTCAGGAGGCTGAGGCAAGAGGGTTGCTTTGAGTTCAAGGTCAGTGTAGGCTACATAGTAAGTTTTATAACAGGACTCTGTGTCAAAAATAGATAACTAAGCATACAATAAGCAAAATAAAGGGCTCAATATCACTAATTTTCAGAGAACAGCAAAGCAAAACCACAATGAAGTACTACTGCCTGTTATCTAAAAGACTAGACGTAAACAACTGTTCTCAAGGAAGTAGAGAAAAGAGATCCCCTGTACACTACAGGTGGGAATATAAATTGGCATGGCCAGTATGGAAAAGTGTATTGGGGTGGGGGAGCCTCAAAAATTAAAAATGGGACCAGCACAGGACTGCTGGGTGCTGATAGAAATGAATGAAAAGCAGTATTTCAGAGCGATATCTGCACTCCTACAGTGGCATGGCCTCATTCACAATGGCCATGCCAACGGACAAATGAAGAAAGAAAATGTGTAGCTGGACATGGTGACACACAACTGTAGTCCCAGCACTCTGGGAAGCTGAGGCAGGAGGGTTGCAAGTCTGAACCCAGCCTGGGCAACTTAGCAAGATACTGTCTCAAACTAAAAAAATTTTAAAAGTATGGGGATGTAGCTCAATGTGAAGCTGTGAGTTCAATGCCCAGCACTGCAAGCGATGATAACAATACTGATAATAATAATAACAATAATGTGGTATGTACATATAACGCAGTATTACCCGGCCTCAGGAAATAAACCCGTAGGATAAATGCTAAGTGAAATAAGCCAAAGGGCAAATCCTGCATGATCTTACTTTTGCTTCTGTTTTTGAGACAGGGTCTTGCTATGTAGCACCGGCTGGCCTCAAACTTACAACAATCCTCCTGCCTCGGCCTCCTGAGTATGGGGATTTGTGTGATCTCACTCATATAGAAATGCAAACAGTCAAACTCACACAAGCTGAGCGTAGAATGGTGGTTGCCAGGGGTTGGGAAAATGGGGGGATGCTGGTCAAAGGCACAAATTTCATTCCCACAAGATGAGTATAGCCTGGAGAGCTAACGTTCAACCAATGTGCTAAGTGAAGTTAAGAGTACTGACCGTGTATTCAGCATGTGCTTAGAGAGTAGATTTTTAGTTCTTAAGTTTACCACTAGAAAAAGCAACAGGTAAATGCATGTATGTGAGGCCACAGGTGTACAAGTTAGCCCGAGGGTGGTGATCATTTCACAGTATGTCAAAACCTAAACTCTGTGCCTTCAATGTATACATTTTGGTCAGTTACCTCAACAAGGCTATAAAAAGGAACATCATAATCCTAGCACCAGAGGAGGCTGAGGCAGGAAGATCACAAATTTGAGTCCCACTAGGACAGCTTAGTGAGATTTTGTCTCAAAATAAAAAAATAAAAGTGGTAGAAGCACTCGTGGGTTCAGTCCCCAGTACCACAAAAATCAAAAGAAAACATAAATGTACACGAACCCCTCTGCCCTAACAACACCACGACTTTGGTGTAGCTGGGCATGGTGGCACATGTCTGTAATCCCAGCACTCAGGATGCTGAGGCAGGAGGATCACCACAAAAACTGTCTTTCTTGGTTTTTTTTTTTGGTACCAGGGATTGAACTCGGGTCCTTGAGTTTGCAAGGCAGGCGGCAGAACCACTGAACTAAATCCCCAGCCCCTCAAAAACTGTCTTTAGAGCAACTGAGTCAGCTCAGCTTTATCACCAGTTTTTAATAGAGTCTAGAAATTGTTGGTGAACTGCCACCTCTTAGAGAAATAACTTGGGATTGGGCTTCAAATCTACTTATCACTGCATACTGTAAAAACTGAGAAAGACAGGCCAGCCATGGTGGTGCACTCCTGTAATCCCAGCACTGGGGAGGCTGAGGCAGGAAGATCTCAGGAGTTCAAGGTCAGCCTGAGCTACATAGTGAGTTCAAAAACAGCCTGAACTACATGGTGAAATCCTGTCTCCAAAAACAAAAAACACTAACAAACAAAAAGCTGAGAAAGACAGCATCATAGAAATGTATGAGAAAAAAAATAGTTGTTCTAGAAGGAGGCTGTAAATGGCCTATCACTACTAACAGAAAAGTAAACGCTGCTTGCCGATGCAGTCTGGGCAGGCCAGGCTGATGGCTCTGGCTTAGAACAGTACAATCCTGGGAATTTGTCACTTGAAGTGGAATTAGAAACAGTGCCTGTGACAAAGAACAGAACATAGGAAGTCGTTCAAAAGCGGGCAGGGTCACTCGTGAGCATGTCAGGCAGAGCACGCACAGTTGCCTCCGTTTGGAACTTAGGCAAAATACAATGCATGGAAAATTACAGAATGGAAAAGAAAGAGGTACAACTAAGAGAAAGGATCACCGCGCCCCGTGACCCACCTCTCTCACCAGTCCCAGCAACTCCGACTTGTGAGCCAGGACGTCGCCCATGCTGAAGCTGCCAGGAGTCCCTCAGCGAATGTGCAAGGCGAACAGAGAGGACCGGGCTCTCAGGCCACCCTGAGCAGGTGGCTTTGGGTGGAGGGAGGAGGCTCCCCAGAGAGGTGGGTCGGGGTGGGGGCCTCCTGCGACTCCCGGCTTGGAGGCCTGAGACACAAGGCGCCTGTCCCCTCCCTGCCGCCCGTGCCTGTGGCCACCTCTGGGTCTGACCTGAAGACAGGATGGCTCTGGGCTCTCAACTAACTGTGCCACCGCCGGCGGGTGCCCCAACGGGGAGGCTGTTTCATCTGGAAGATAAAATGGAGGACCTATCAGAGCATCTGCAGTTCTAAAGTGTGAGTCCGTCCAAGTGTGGGGCGCGCACCTGCAACCGCAGCACTCAGGAGGCTGAGGCAGGAGGATTGTGGTGAGTTCGAGACCAGCCTGGGCTACACAGTGAGTTCAGAGCCAGCCTGAACTGCATAGCGAAGTACAGCCCGAACTACACTGCCTCAAAAGATAAAAATAACAGTAACAGAAAGTGTGACTCTGCGACTTTACTCTTATCCGTACCCAGGTCAGGAAGATTAAATTTGCTAAGTGTTGTGGTTTGGGTCACGGGTCACTCAAAGCCACATCCCTAAGCCTCGGTCACCAGGTGTAAGTGGAGCCTCTGGGGGTGGCAGGAAGGTGGGTGGCTGGGGTGATCCCTGAGGGGCGCTGGGACCTTGGTTTGTGTCCCCTGCCACAACACAGCCCACTGACCCTGATAAGCCTGACACCATGAGCCAGGGCAGCTCTCCCCGGGGCTGCTGTGTCACAGCCTCCATCTCCCTGCTGTGGTCTCAGGGTCCGAAGGGACACAGCGGTGCACCTGCCTGCCCCTCTCCCGCCTCCATCAGCGTCCCCACCGTGACCGGCGGTGCACACACAGCTCGGCCTCCATACCGTCCTCTTCCCCTGGGCCTCAGCTCTGCTCTCTGTGGCCCTGGCCCTGCGTGTCCCCGAGCCTGCCACTGGCTGCCTGCAGCCTCTCCTGATGCACACTCGTTGTCCCCTCATACACAGGCCAGAGGAGGATGGCGTCCGAGCAGAGAGGAGCAGGAGAGGCGGGTGGAGGGTGCAGGGCTCAGGCAGCTGGGTGCTGGGGCACAGCGAGCCGGGGGCCAGAGCAGGTGGCTTAGGCCTTGGGTGAGGCAGCAGGAAGCCCAGGGAGAGTAGCAGAGGGGAGGACCCAGCCATGCCCATCCTGCTGCAAGCCCGACAGTATGCTCAAGACAAGAGACAGGAGCCAGGGCAGCTGTTCTGACTCCAGATATAAAAGGCAGAGGTGAGCCAGTGCGATGGTGCACACCTGTGATCCCAGCTCTCCAGGAGGCCGAGGCAGGAGGATCACAAGTTCAAACTCAGCCTGGGCAACTTATAGACATAGCAAGACCCTGTCTCAAAATTAAAAAGGGCCGGAGATGCAGCTCAGGGTGAAAGTCCTGGTGGGTTCAATCCCCAGCACCAAAAGCAAAAAGATAAAACTGCACAGGTGGCATGAGCTGAGGGGCTGGGTGTGGGGTGAGAGGAGGAAGGAAGGCTGACACCCGCTGGACAGACGCCACTCCCTGAGAAGGGGACGCGTGGGTGGGGTCCGAGCCCCTGATCCACGGCCAGCGCCTGCACGTGTGGCTCTGCATCCGAGGTGCTGCTGTGGGGTCCAGCTCACAACGAGGTACGGATCCAGGGCCAAAACAGGGTCGCAGCTGAGAGTAAGAAGCATCTGGATGGCTGGAAGCAAGGAACGGTGGGTACCAGACAGACCAAGGCAACATGGCAGGGCTTCCGGTATTGTGAGCCAGCCGAAGACACAAGGAGCGGAAGCTAGGAGGGCCCCAGCCTGCAGCTCTGTGGCATTCTCCAGGTGCTTTCTGCGGGGTGCAAGAGGCTAAGCCAGGAGGCTGTGCTAGCAGAGACGGGGGGAAAGACAAGTCTAGCATCGAAGGGACATCAAAGCTATGCTGGGGTGGGGCTGGGGCAGGGAGGCCGGCAAGGGGCTGTGCATGGAGAAAAGGGGACACATCAGTGACCTGGAAGACAGAGGCAGGGGTCAGAGAGGGGAATTTTGAAGTCCAGATTGGAGAGGTGACAGTAAAAAGAAGCTCATGACAACTTAGGAGGCTCAGGCAGGAGGATCACTGTGAGTTCAAGGCTAGTCTAAACTACATTGTGAGACCTTGTCTTGGAAAAAATAAAAAAAGAAAATAAAGAACAAAAGCTCACAACCAGAGAGGCGGGAGACAGAGGAGACTGGAGGAAACGATGCCCACGAGTAAGGAGGAGGAAGCAGCCGCAGTGACCCGCACATTGAAATCTCCACAAGGAAAGGAGACAGAGAGAGCCAGGTAGAGATTTCTCCCCCGGGTGCTGCCTCAAGGATAAGTGGCAACTGGTTCTGCCCATAGCATGAACGTCAAAGGGGCTGGGGACCCTGTCACCACCAAACCCCCGCGTCAGCCCTGCACACAGTGAGCCTGGGCCCTTCCCTCAATACCTGCTTCTTCCCAATTCCTCCTCCCAGGCAAACTCAACTCAATTCTAACTCAGTCCAGACTTGACCTTCAGGAGTCGCCCATGGAACCCTCCCCCAAGTCCTCGGCAAGGTGATTCTTTCTCCTTGAGGGCATCTCTGTACCTTACCTCTATTTTATGGTTGTAATTATAACTGTGTCTCAAAGGCTGAGAGCAGTATTGTATCTAAAGGCCGAGAGCTGTATGTAACTTTTGTACCCACAGCACCTAGCAGAGTATTTAGTAAGACATCTGTGGGAGAAATAAATGAAGCCAGAACAAGGAGGCGGCATTTTGGAAGGCCCTGAAGCAAGAATACTTTGTTGTTTTGGAGAATTTAAACCCCTGCCAGCCTCAGGGCCTTTGCACAAGATTCTCTGCACCTGGAAAGCTTTTTCTCCCCCTGCTTCCCTGGCCAACCCGTGTTTAATAAATGTCAGTTCCTTAGAGAAGTGATCCTTGATGAGTGACCCACTAAGTGAATGTGAGCCGCCGCTGGGTGTTCTAGTACTCTGGCTTTCTTGGTGATTACAGAACTTTCTCCTAAATCTTTTATCCTATGGAGGGTTTATGCAGGAACCATGCAAAATGCGTCACATTTACTCTTCCTCCTAAACCCAAGAGCTGAATGTCATTTCCATTCTCCTTCTACAGACGAAGCAATTAAGGTGCTGCCACTGCTCCTAAGCGACAAAATGAAAATTTAAATCCATGCTGATTCTAACCATTGAACAGTATTTTCCCCAAATTTAGACCATCTAAGTCAGAACCAGCAGGTAAGTTTGTGCAGGTGAAATCTCCTACTCCAGCTCGTTCTTACTGAGTGCTAGGGCCGGTGTCCAGATGTCCAGAAATCAGCCTTTTAAACAAGCTCCCTGCGTGACACCTCTGCACCGCAGCCTGAGAACCAGCGCTCTAACTCCTGCAGACGCTAAGCTTCTTAGCAGGATTTAGGGCCTGGAAACCGGGTGGAAAAAGTAAAGACTATGGGATTTGAATGGAAGACAATTCGCACAGCAGGCATCGCGTTTCTGCGTCGATTATATGAAGTCCTAGGCTCGGCCTGGGTGTCTGGGAGGTGCACTGCTAAAATGAAGGTCAGACCTAAGAGCCCCAGGCCTCCGCTCGCACCGCCACTTCCCCGCTGGCCTCGGGGAGGGGACGCCCCTCCAATGTTGTCCCACTGCTGCAAGATCAGGAACAACTTGCGGAAAGCAGCGGGGAATATCTTTGGGAGGTGCGGACGGCCCCCTCCGGCCTCTGCGGGTAAGAGCCCTGGACCGCAGGGGAGAGGCGGGAGCAACCGTATCGGGGTTTTCCTCGGGGCAAGGGGTCAGCGGAGCCTCGACCCTGCGCCCTCCGCCCCACCCCTGCTCCTCCCGGCCCGGGACTGCGGGATCGGCGGAGGGGATGGGGGCCACCGCACGTTGGGGAACGCGCTTACCTGCTGCTCCGCCGCCAACCCAGCACTCACCCTGTCCGAAATCCGTCACCCGGGCAACCGCCGCCGCCAGCCTGGCATCACGTGGAACGTCTTGGCCAATCCCAAGGCGCGGCTGACGCGGAGCAGCCTGGGAGGAAGGGCCGGCGGCCCAGAGATTTCCTGGCGGCGGAAATGAGGCTTCACAGCTGAAATGGGATTGGCGTCTCGGCCCTTCGATCTCCTGTTCCCTGCGCAACTCGCGGCTCATTCATTTTTACAAATAGGCCTTAGGAGTGACCGGGGAGGCAGGCTTAACCCCTAGCCGCAGGGCACTCGTGGTCTCTCAGAGAAAACAAAACTGGCCGTGGGATTACAGTGGGCTGCGCTCGTGGGAAGAAAAGTAGGCGTGGCTATTCCCATTTTACCCGAGGGATCTGGGGTCACCTAGGACCAGAAGTGACGCCCGGAACCTGCGCCACTGCAGAACTTTCATAGACATATTTTAAATGTGAAATTTGGGGTTTTACAAACAAAGCAGGAAGGCTGGGGATGCAGCTCAGTAGCAGAGCGCTTGCGCAGCCTACACAAGGCCCTGGGTTTCATGCCCGCACCACAAGAAATAAACGAAAGCAAAATAAAACTAGACCTCAGATCCTTACGCTCTGTTCCTTTTCCGTTTGAACTGAAGTTCTCAGCGCTCTGCACCTTTTAGTGGCCAACTGTTCTGGTGGCTGGGGCGGTGCCCCTGTCTAGACAGAAAACCCGCTCTGGGCCCCACCCAGAGGTTGGAGGCAGCGAGGGCCAGAGAGGGAAGAGGCCTGGAGAATGTAGGAGCCAGGGAAGAGGGCTACCATCTCCCCAGCTCCTGGCTGGCAGGTTGGGGCCCCCATTCCCGGTAACGTGGCTTGAGAATAAAATTTCTCAAGTCCGGACTGAGTCTGATCCCGGAAAAAAAAAAAAAAAAAAAAAAAAAAAAAAGAAGAAGAAAGAAAGAAAAAAACGCATATAAAAAGCGTAACTATGTGCCAGGCTTACCAAACAAAATACTGTACAGAATATCCACTTAAAGTTGAATTTCTGGTAATTTTTCTCAGTACTTGCCATAAATTCCTTCCAGAACTCCTGACGAATGCCAGAACCCAAGAGTATCAAATGAATCTTTCCCATAAGAAATAATGGTACTAAAAAAAAAAAAAAAAAAAAAAAAAAAAATAATGGGAGGCTGAGGCAGGAAGAGCACTGCATGTTTGAGGTCACCCTAGACTCCAGTTTTTAAAATCACTTTTTAATGGAAACAACTTGACCAAAAGTCCATCACAGAATTTTGAGACCCGTTAAAACAGAGTTTAATGAGAAACCCGTGTCTTATGGTCAACACAAAAGTTCAGTTCTTTGAAACCTATTTCTGGTGTTAACCCTGAAACCTTATGAAAATATAATTTTGGCTGCTTCATATCTGGGAATTAGAGGGGAAGGTACTGTTCTAAGTAGTAAAGGGTATGGGGAGGGTTGTGCTGATGGCAACAATATAGCAACACTTCGGTATTTTGTAATTTATAATTTAGGGTTATAAAACATGTTAAATCTCTTTAAGAAAGATCAGCTCAACCTCGGGGCCTCCCACCCAGCCGACAGCAGGCAGGCTGCTCTGAAGGGGCCCGCGATTCACTTCATTGCTGAAGCTCCACTGGCAAATGGCCAGGTTAGCACCGGTTTCTTTAATCGGCCAAATCATCTCCTCAAACTTGTCCTTCTCATACTTCTGAAGGGCTCCATAGCCCTCCACTGAGCTCACGTCCAGCTTGTGCTTTGTCTTGGGCTTGGGCGGCTCAAAGAGGCCCGTGAGGATGGCGATCCTGACGTTTTCCACTCACTCGGGCATCTGTTGATGGCTGAAGTCCTTGTCCACAGGATGCGCTTGATGGTGGGGCCTTTAGCCCACCATGCGCTAGGGCACGCGCACCTGGATGGTGGTCAGTGAGGGTTTCACATTCGCCGGGGACAGGACAGGGACTCCTGCGCCTGAGGACCGCGACTTTGGCTTTGACTTCCTCCTGGCCCTTGACCTCACCATGCCAAGTTCAAAGCCAGCCTGAAAAAAAAAAAAAATGGATGCAACAAGTGCTAGGTTTGAGAAGTTCTGAAGCCAGTGACTTCTAAGGTCTGACCATATGTCCCAAATACTGCCATATTGATTTTGCATATAGGACATTGTGTTGTTTTGTATTCTTTTTTTTTCCAGCTTTAATTGAGTTTATTGGTACATTTTAGGGATATAGTACAGTTACATTCATTGTTGGGATCTTGTACCTCTACATGATAAGTCTTGATTCTCATTTTTTCCCCTTACCTCTGCCCTCCCTTCACCCCCTCCTCCCCTCCCCATCTACAAACACTTTATTTCCATCTTCTCATTATCTCACATTTTTTTCTTTTTCCTTATTACCCTTCCCCTATCTATCCCACTGTGTTTTGTATTCTTATTTGCTAAATTGATAGCTCCTTGTGTGCCAGCACCATGTTAATTTTTTTTTTTTATAAAGAGCTACACCTGTATTCCTGAAATTCTGGTAGGCTGAGGCAGGATAGCAAATTTATTTTTTTCTTCTATTTTTCTCTTATTTTCTTGTCCCTCCCTTCCTTTTTCACTCTCTCCTCTGTTCCCTCTCCCATTTGAACATCTTCCTATTTCCCAGTATCTATTATATATTTTAGTCTTTATTTCCACTTCCGGTTTCTCACACCAGAGAAGCAATGCAGTGTCTAAACATGTGGGTCCAATTTATTTCATTTAGGAGAAAGGTCTCAAGGTCTATCCATTTAGCTCTAATTGTCTGAAGCTCATCCTTTTTTTGTGTGGGTAGTACTGGGGATCGAACTCAGGGCTTTGCCCTTGTAAGGCAGGTGTGGTGCCACTGAGCTAAATCCCCGGCCAAGCTAATCCTTCTTTATGGCAGAGTAGTACACCACTGTAATAAAAAGTCACATCTTCTTTATTCATTTGTCAGTTGATGGTCATTTGGGTAGCTGTTACACACCGTTCTACTGTAAACATGGGTGCATGTATATCACTGTGGTAGGGTGCTTTCTACTCTTTCAGGGAGATACCAGGAAGAAGAATAGTTGGGTCAAGTGGAACCTCTAGTTTGAGTCTTTTGAGGAATCTGCACACTGATTTCCACAGTGGTTGTACTAGTTTACACTCCCACCAGCAATGGAGAAGGGTTCCTTTTCCCCACAGCCTCTCCAGCATTTGTTTTTGGTTGATTTCTTGAGAGCAGCCATTCTTTCTGGGGTGAGGTGGAATCTCAGTGTCTCACGAATGACCAGTGATGTTGAACATTTTTTCGTACATTTATTTGCCCTGTCTGTTTCTTCATCTGAGGAGCATCTGTTCCTTTCAGATGCCCATTTTTGGATTGGGTCTTTAAACTTGAGGGAGTCTGGTTTTTTTTCGTTCTTTGTATATTCTAAATAATAGTCCTTTGATGAATATCTGATAAAACTTTCTCCCACGCTGAGGGATGTCTCTTCACTCCGTTGGTGGCTTCTCTTGCTAGCACTGTGCTGAGTTGGTCACCCAGATTCCTCTGATTCTCACCACGGTCTATGGGATGGACAATTGTGCCACATCTCACAATCAACAGTGTCATGCTTCACCTGAAGTCTGTGCTCCTGGGAAACAGCTGGCTTAGAAATCCTCCCCACCTCTGTGTTCTGAAATCCCCACTCTTTGTGCTCCAGGAAGCAGCTTAGGGAAAAGGCAGCTTGGGTAAGACTCACAAAGCCCCTAGACTCAGGTGTCACCCTTGTCTCTCTGTGACAAGGACAGACACAGCCCTCTCGGTCCTCCTCGTGTGTTGCCCCATGGTCGACTGGCGGACCCCCCCACCCCACAACACTCAAGCACAGACGGAGACATTTCCAGACCGGCTCATCACCACTTCTCCACCTGAAACCTGTCCACCCTCCCGTGCAGTCGGACCGAAGCTACCCTGTGGAGACTCTGAGGTCCTACAGGCTGAATAAAATCAATCTTTTTTCTTTTCTTTTCTTTTTTTTGAGTCAAGGTCTTGCCATGTAGTTCCAACTGGCCTCGAATTCGCTAGGCAGCCCTGGTCTCAAACTCATGGGGATCCTCCTGCCTCAGCCTCTCAAATGCTAGGATTACAGGTGTGCGCCACTGTGCCCAGCTTTTAAGATCACTCTTCTAACATGTCCAAGTTTTGTCTTTGACAAGAGGAGCAACGTGGGGTACAGAGAAGTTAATGTAGACCTGGGTACCTCTGAGCCCTGGACTCTGAGCAACGTATACACACACACACACACACACAACCTCCTGCTTTGCTTTCCTAAGTGCACTGACTGACTTCCAGGATTGTGTCACTGTGTGGCGCCTGTTATCTTCGTGTCCTCAGCCCTGCTTTCCCTTTTGAAGCCTACGGCTCCAGCTTGACATGACTGGCGCCATCTTGAGCCCTGACTGCCCTGACTGCCCCTGAATAACCCTGGCTGGTTTTTCCCCACAGTTTTCCAGCACACTATAAATAGACAAAACCATTAGCGTGGTGGGTGGGGCTTTGGGATCAGATCCTGGCACCAGGAATGTGCCTGACTCTTGGTATTAGCCTGAGATAAACCAGGTATCTTCTGGCTTGGATGAATTACTTTTGTCCTTCCTAGTTTATGTTTGGTATGAGGGGGGAAAATGGGGAATGTTTACATTCTTTGTTAAAATTGGTTACATAAAAGGCACATTGCCACAAATTCCCGCAAAATACCCCACACTTGCCTGTCCCCTGGCCGCAGTGCGATCCGATGAGCTGCTCCTTCTCTGGGTTTTTCTGTGGAAGTATGGTCAGGTCCCTGGAGAATGGGACACAGTGCAGCCTCCAGCCGTGCCCCTCACCACGCTGGAAAGCCTGGGAAAGTGGGGCCACCGCTGGAGAGATGTCAAGCAACCAATTTCCTCTACCGAAAGGGTTCAGGTAGGGTTTCCGGCACTTGGAGCCAGACAAGCCTAATGCGATTTCTATCAGCCTCTTCTTGAGGAGGGAAGGACAGACTGGCTTTGCTCCTTTCACACCCGGCGCAGCCTTCACTTCCGCCCCTCATG